GAGGCTCAGTGGACCAGCAGAACCTCAGAGGCTCAGTGGACCAGCAGAACCTCAGAGGCTCAGTGGACCAGCAGAACCTCAGAGGCTCAGTGGACCAGCAGAACCTCAGAGGCTCAGTGGACCAGCAGAACCTCAGAGGCTCAGTGGACCAGCAGAACCTCAGAGGCTCAGTGGACCAGCAGAACCTCAGAGGCTCAGTGGACCAGCAGAACCTCAGAGGCTCAGTGGACCAGCAGAACCTCAGAGGCTCAGTGGACCAGCAGAACCTCAGAGGCTCAGTGGACCATCAGAACCACAGAGGTTCAGTGGACCAGCAGAACCTCAGAGGCTGAGTGGACCATCAGAACCACAGAGGCTCAGTGGACCAGCAGAACCTTAGAGGCTGAGTGGACCATCAGAACCACAGAGGCTCAGTGGACCAGCAGAACCTTAGAGGCTCAGTGGACCAGCAGAACCTCAGAGGCTCAGAGGACCAGCAGAACCTCAGAGGCTCAGTGGACCAGCAGAACCAGAGGCTCAGTGGACCAGCAGAACCTCAGAGGCTGAGTGGACCAGCAGAACCTCAGAGGCTCAGTGGACCAGCAGAACCACAGAGGCTCAGTGGACCAGCAGAACCTCAGAGGCTCAGTGGACCAGCAGAACCAGAGGCTCAGTGGACCAGCAGAACCTCAGAGGCTCAGAGGACCAGCAGAACCACAGAGGCTCAGTGGACCAGCAGAACCACAGAGGTTCAGTGGACCAGCAGAACCAGAGGCTCAGTGGACCATCAGAACCTCAGAGGCTGAGTGGACCAGCAGAACCATCAGAACCGACCTGCAGCAGGACCGCAGCAGGTCTCCCACAGCAGCAGCAGACACGTTGGAGCAGCTGCTCAGGTTCAGCTGCAGCAGGTCCGAGTTCTTCATCAGGCAGCTGAGGAACAAGAACATCATCATCGTCAGCCGGTTCTGACCACAAACGGGCCGACCCGATCAGAGCGATCGGTACTGAGAGGTACCTGATGATGTCATCAGACAGCTGCAGACCCTCCAGGCTCAGGTTCTGCAGCTGTCTGCAGCGCCGCAGGATGTTCTGCAGAACCTCTGTGGGGATGATGGAGCTGGACAGGTCCAGTTCCACTAGCTGTAACGGGCTGGACAGAACCATCAGAACCAACAGATTAAATTCAAGTCCTGGAACCCAGAACCCACCAGGACCGCCTGTTGGACCCACCTGGAACCTGTGAGCTGCAGGTCTTCAACACAAGCTCGAGGACAACGCAGCCGGCGGACCTGGGTCTTCAGAACCTGCTGCAGAGCCGGGCCCGTGTGGGTCAGGCCCTCCAGGTCCACACTGTGCCACAGGGATTGATCAAAGCTGAAACCAAGACAGAACCAGGACCTTAATCCAGAGTCAACCTGGAGTTAATCCAGAGTTAATCTGAGGTTAATCCAGAGTTAATCCAGAGTCAACCTGGAGTTAATCCAGAGTTAATCTGAGGTTAATCCAGAGTCAGTCTGGAGTTAATTCAGAGTTAATCCAGAGTCAACCTGGAGTTAATCTGAGGTTAATCCAGAGTCAACCTGGAGTTAATCTGAGGTTAATCTGAAGTTAATCCAGAGTTAATCTGAGGTTAATCCAGAGTCAGTCTGGAGTTAATCCAGAGTTAATACAGAGTCAACCTGGAGTTAATCTGAGGTTAATCCAGAGTCAACCTGGAGTTAATCTGAGGTTAATCTGAAGTTAACCCAGAGTTAATCTGAGGTTAATCCAGAGTCAGTCTGGAGTTAATCCAGAGTTAATCCAGAGTCAACCTGGAGTTAATCTGAGGTTTATCCAGAGTCAACCTGGAGTTAATATGAGGTTAATCCAGAGTTAATCGAGAGTCAACCTGGAGTTAATCTGAGGTTAATCCAGAGTCAGCCTGGAGTTAATCTGAGGTTAATCTGAAGTTAATCCAGAGTTAATCTGAGGTTAATCCAGAGTCAGTCTGGAGTTAATCCAGAGTCAGTCTGGAGTTAATCCAGAGTCAGTCTGGAGTTAATCCAGAGTCAACCTGGAGTTAATCTGAGGTTAATCCAGAGTTAATCCAGAGTCAACCTGGAGTTAATCTGAGGTTAATCCAGAGTCAATTTGGAGTTAATCTGAAGTTAATCCAGAGTTGATCTGAAGTTAATCCAGAGTTGATCTGAAGTTAATCCAGAGTTTAATCTGAAGTTAATCCAGAGTTAATCTGAAGTTAATCCAGAGTTAATCTGAAGTTAATCCAGAGTTGATCTGAAGTTAATCCAGAGTTAATCTGAAGTTAATCCAGAGTTAATCTGAAGTTAATCCAGAGTTAATCTAGTTAATCCAGAGTTAAGTGGTCTGCAGGAAGCAGACCCTGACTCACACCAGGCGGTTCCAGCGCCTGCAGACCACACAGACCCTCAGCAGGTCCTGCAGGTCCAGGTGCAGGTAGATCCTGAGCAGCAGTTCTTCAGGGAGACGTTCCCACGACACACCTGACAGGTAAACACAGCCCATCAGGTCCTGGTCTGGACCCACCTGCTCAAACCAGCGGGGGGTGGGGGTCCTACCTGAACTGGACTCTCTGCTCCTCCTGGACCTCCGGGCCAGAACAAACGGGTTCTCCTTGTCCCTGTGGACCAGCAGCTGGACTTTGTGAGGGGGGGTGTTGACCAGACCCTGGACCAGGCAGCCCCTGGACCCGCGTTTGGTCCTGATCCGACTGCCCCCCCGCAAGCTGGTCCAGGACAGGTCCTGCAGGGGTCCCACACTGCTGGACCAGGAAGGAAACTGATCAGAACCTGGACCTAAACCCTGCTGGATCAGAACCTGGACCTAAACCCTGCTGGATCAGAACCTGGACCTAAACCCTGCTGGATCAGAACCTTCCAGAACCGGACTCCGGTCCCTCCCTCTCCCGCCATCCTGCGGACGGAACCGCGCCAACTTGACGTCTAAAAGCAGACATTTGACACTAAACAGGATTAAATTAGGATTATCTACAGCTGATAAAACCACAGAAGAAGAGTTGACAGGAGGAAAAGGCGCTTTTTTAACATCAGGTTTTAAAAATTCAAACTAAAAAAAGTCTAATTTATTAAAAACTGATGAACGGAAGTGATGCTTGAATAAAAACCAGATTATTTCTTTAACCAGAGTTAATCTGACAGATTGAATCAGTGAAACGAGGTAAACTTGTTCTCTCCTAAGCTAAGCTAAGTTTCAGAGCTAAAACTCACCTGTGTAATCACAGTTAAATGTAGAAAACATCTTACCTGTCGTCAGACATCTGCTGATTTTCCCTCCTAATCCTCTGCTTCCAACTGAGACTCTTTAAACTCGCGCCGTTTCACTGCCTGGAGCCGTGTGACGTCATGACGTCAGGACTGACGGCGGAGGTGTCCCCGCCCCCTGCCGCTCAGGAGGAGGAAGGACACAAGAGTTCAAAGTAATTCTGTTCATTAATCCTTTATTTGCACCCATCCTTTTATCTTTATCTCATTTGTCAGTTTGTTTTTGAAATACGCTTTATTTTTTTATTTTACRGTTTTGTGTGTTTTTTAATTAAATTAAAAATTAAATTAATTAATCAACTATAACAACAGTTTTTACAGGAAAGAGATAAAAACATTAGGATATAAGCGACTCAGATCAGATCAAAGGTTTACTTTAATCTTCACGTTAGTGTTTTAGACTCTAGTAAACAGTTACCTGTCCAGGTGAGACACGCTGCAGTTCAGTGTACCAGTCAGCAGGGGGCTCCTTCAGCCTGACCAGAGAAAACTTGTTCAGTCCTGGGTTTTAGTTTAGTTTAGTTTCTTTGTGAAAGAAGTTTGACTCAGTTTTTATTAACAAACTTCTGTTTTCATCAAACAATCTGAACAACTGTTCATCTAGTCTGCAGGTCTTTGAAATAACTCGTCAAAATGTTTAATAAAGTCAAATTCAGAAGGAGTTCATCTTTTCTGACTTTCACCAAATTATAAAGAAATGTTTTTTTAATCTGAAACGTGGGAAACAAAAGCTTTTATTTGAGTCAAGTTTGGTTTTGGTCTCAGACCTGGACCTGGACTGACCCTGTTCCTCATGTGAGCTGCTTCAGAGCCACAGAGACTCAGGGTCCAGGATCTGGAGCCTGTTTGGGTTTTCAGCTGCGGCTCAAACAGCTGAAGTTCTGATCAAAGCTAACACACAGCAGGCTCATTGTTTCAACAGAAATACACAAAAAGACCCTTTTTATTGTAGTTTGATTGAAAACCTGGATGAGTGAATAAAACCAAACTGCTGTCAGCAATAAACCACACAACGCATCAAAAATAAACCGTTTCTCTTTTCTTAATAATAAAAACATTTGTTTCAAACAGATTTGTCTGTGTTCAGTTTGATTAAAAATATGAAAGAAATAAAAATAATCACTAATCACTGACTGAACAAAAGTGAAGCTTTAAAAACCACAGCAGAGAAATCCTCAGTGTCCTGCACTCAGTTTCACACAAACAAACAGAACAAATATTTAGCTGACAAACAGTTAAAATCTTCTTTAGATTCATCAAAGATCTGAGTTTAAACACAAGCTAAAACATAAAGATACAAATTCAAACAGATGAATGAATACTTATCAGTTCAATAAGCTCCGCCCCCAGCAACAGAACCAGCACTGTTAGTCCATTCATTGGTTAGTTGATTTGTTAGTTGGTTGGTTGGTTGGCTGGTTGGTTGGTTGGTTGGTTGGTAGACTGACTGTTTGGGTTAGTAGACTGGTTGGTTTGTGGTTGGTTGGGTTAGTAGACAGGTCGGTTGGTTTGTGGTTAGTTGGTTGGGTTAGTTGACAGGTCGGTTGGTTTGTGGTTAGTTGGTTGGGTTAGTTGACAGGTCGGTTGGTTTGTGGTTAGTTGGTTGGGTTAGTTGACAGGTTGGTTGGGTTAGTAGACTGGTTGGTTGGTTTGTGCTTGGTTGGTAGATTAGGCTGGACTGATTAGTTAGTAGATTGGGTTAGTTGATTGTTTGTTAGTTTGGTTGGTTAGTAGGTTAGATCATCATCATCATCATCGTTTATTTATAAAGCACAATAAAAACCAAAGTGCTGTACAGGAGCATAAAATAAAAACAATGAACAAAGTACAGTAATAAAATGAACAATAAAATGAACCAAAACAAAAGCTGGCCTAATGATCCTGCTCTTCAGACTCTTCAGCCTGTTTAAACAGATGAGTTTTTAACAGAGACTTAAACTCATTCAGAGACCCAGCAGACCTCACAGACAGTGGGAGGTTGTTCCAGAGCTGAGGTCCTGCAGCTGAAAAGGCTCTGTCTCCCCTGGTCACAAGCCCAGACCTGGGAACAACTAAAAGCTTTTGATTTACAGATCTCAGGATCTGTTAGGAATGTGAGGCTGTAAAAGCTCAGTGAGATAATGAGGTGCCAAACCATTTAGACATTTAAAAACTAAAAACAAAATCTTAAAAACAATTCTAAAAGAAACAGGCAACCAGTGAAGAGAATACAAAATCGGAGTGATGTGTTCGCATCGTCTTGTCCCTGTTAATCAACGGGCAGCTGAGTTCTGAACAAGCTGTAGACGACGAACCAAAGACTGATCCATCCCATAATAAAGAGAGTTGCAGTAGTCCAGTCTAGAAGTGATAAAAGCATGAAT